TCTTTAGAACTCCAAGATTTGATGTTTTTCTTTTCCCCAGAAGCATTAAAACTGAGGTCCGGTTATAGATAACATTTTAATAGGCCACTGAGGGCTGACGATTAGGCTAATAGTGCTCTTGTAGTGTTGTTGTTGATGTTAGGAGTTGCCAAGCCTGGTCTGCAGTGTCAAACTGCAGGAAACACTGCCGTGCCTTGCCTGTCCTCACAGCTGTTATGTTGGAGCTCATTGTTGTGTCCATTTATCTCATCAAGGACTTTTGTCATCTTTGCTGCTCCTCCACCTAGTATAGTGTCCTTTTCCATGCATGGTCTCTTTTGACAACATGCCCAAAGTGTGGAAGCTGAAGCCTTGAAATTCTTACTTCTAAGGAGCATTCTGGATGTACTTTTTCTAAGGCTGATTTGTTTGTTCTGGCACATGGTACTTCACATATTCTTCACCAATACTGTAATTCAAATCCATTGATTCTTATTCATTCTTCTTTATTCAAAATCCCAGTTTTAGACAAGCTGCTTTAAAATACCATGGCTTGGGTCAGATGCACTTTAGTCCTCAAAATGACACCCTTGCTCTTCAATACTTTAAAGCAGTCTTGTGCAGGAGATTTGCTCAATGCAATCTATTGTTTGATTTCTTGACTGCTGCTTCCATGAGCAATGGTTGTAGGTCCAAGCAAGATGAAATCCTTGACAAATTCAATCTTTTTTCTGTTTATGGTTCTGTTATCTATCGACCGGGTTGCGATAAATTTGGTTTTCATTTCATTGAGTTGTAACCCATATTGAATGCTGAAATCCTTGATCTTCATCAGCAAGTGGCTCAGGTCTTCCTCACTTTCAGCAAGCAACGTTGATTGGTAATAAGCCTTCCTCCAATCCTGATTCCATAATATTCTTCCTGTAGTCCATCTTCTCAGATTATCTGCTCAGCATACAGACTGAATAATATGGTAAAAGCTTACAACCCCGACTCACAGCTTTCCTGATTTTAAGCTGTGCAACAGTCCCTTGTCTTACTCAAACTACTGCCTTTTGACCCGTGCACAGGTTCTTCAAGAGCACAATAAAATGTTCTTTTCAATGCTAACTATAATTTGTTGTGATACACACAGTGAATGCCTTTGCATAGTCAATAAAACACAACTAAACATTTTTTTCTGGTATCCTTTGTTTTCAGTCAAGATATATTTGACACCAGCAACAATATTCCTTGTGCCATCTCCTCTTCTGAATCCATTTTTAATTTCTGGCAGCTCCTTAATGGTGTACTGCTGTTGAATGATCTTCAGCAAAGATTTATTGCATGCAATATTAATGATGATATTGTTCAACATTTTCTGCATTCTGTTTGATCACTTTTCTTTGTAATAGACACAAATATACATCACTCTGGTCGAAGAGCTAGGTAGCTGTCTTCCAAATTTCTTGGTTTGCTTCCTTGAGTACCTGCAAGCCTCCAGAGTATAACAAAGTGGTTTTCCTTTCCATATAGTAATATTTTTGTGTCCATTACATAAATTAAAAACCCATGATACACAGCTGAGTTTGGAGTTTCCTTTGTGGTTACTATCCTAATCCACTTACAATAATTGATATTCAATTATTTTCCCATTATTTAAAATGATAATAAATATCTCTGTTAGTAAATGTTGATGCAGTCAATTGTTTTTGACAAACTATTGCATAATTAATTTGTTGAATATTCTTTCCCAGAATAACTTTTTGAAATTATGAAGTACTCTTTTTCCATAAAAAGAGCTACCCCCTCCTCTAGCAGCTCTTAGCTGACAGAGGCAGGACCAGATGCAGTCATCTCACTCCCCAGTACAGGTCCTACACTGTGCTGACCTTGTTACCCTCCACGCTTTCGAGTCAGGGCCTTATTAAGAGCATCACAAACCTTGGGTGCATTTATCATGGAGTTTCAGAGGCCTAGTCACAGAGGCCACAGATAGCTGTCAGTGTGACACATAGGCACAGAAATGGGCAAGTGGTAAAGAATTCCTTCCAAAAAGTTAGCGTAGAGCTGAGATAGCTTGGGAAATGATATCAGAGGCAGCAATTCCCATTCCCCATTGTTAAAGCTCAGTTGGTATTTGTTTCCGGGCACTTATTTTAGACTTAACACCAAAGAATTCTTTCATGCCTAGAAAGATAAAATGAGAGTATTGGTGGCATTCACATCATAGGCAGATATACAGTATTAAAAAAAATATTCCCATTGCCCAAATAAGGATTCTCTGCTGTCTTTCTTCCAGAGTAGAATGGTTGACAAGAAGTTAGCAATAAAATTTAACCTGAAGAGTTATATTGACTTTTGTCTCCTATTGTCATAGGAGCTCTTGTGGTGTAGTTGTTACTTGGACTGCAAACCTCAAGGTCAGCAGTTTGAAACCACCAGCACTCTGTGGGAGACAGAACTTTCTACTCTTGTAGACAGAGCCTTGGAAATGCACAGGGGCAGTTCTATTCTGATCTACAGGGTTACTATGAGTTGGCCTTGACTCAATGGCAGTGAGTTTTTGTTTTTGAGTTCTCCCATTGTCATCATCTGTGCATGTTTTAAATATTTTTTTATGCTATCATGTACCGACTAGCTCTCTCCTTAGTTCTGATGCTTGATGGATCGGATGCCTGCTTTTTCAAATAAACATTTCTTCATCAAGATGTTTATTGTTCTCCATGAAAGCTAACATGATTCTAACAGTTGAGTCTGTGTCAGTGGAGGTAAAGTGTTCATCCTGGAAAGGAGGAGGAGAATTTTACGCTGAATCCATTGGGTTGTTCAGTTTGAAGATTTGAAATTTAGCGACTTGAGTAGGAGGTATAGAGACTTGCTCTAGCAGAGACCGCATGACTTATGGCAGGTCCAGTTGGATGATTCATGGTATTTGCTGGTCCTTGAGCCAAGGTTTGTACTCTTCACTCTATTGTTTTTGCGTATGCTTCCCTTTACTGTTAATGCTTAGTGTCAACTTGGCTTGACCATAATTCTCAGTGGTTTGACAGACACTCTGTAATCACCTTCCATTTTGGGATTTGTTGTAAGCCATCATTCATTTGAAAGTGGAACTTCCATGGGGCATGTGGCCTGTTTCCAATGTATAAATAAATATTCTGCCAAAGCTTACTCTTTCTTGATTATGCATTCTACTTGTTATCTGACCTCTGGAGCCAATGGAAAACTGGTGCCAAGACCCATGGAGAGATTCAGGGTCTGTCAGATGTACAGATGTTGAAATGAGCCAGGGGCCTTTCTCCTAAAATGTGAGCTGACAGAGAGAGAATGGTTTCTCTTAGGGGTGGCATCCCAATTCAGACTTCCAACCTCTAAATTATTAGAGAATAAATTTCTATTTGTTAATTCCATCCATTTATGGTATTGTTGTTATCAAACAAAAAAAAAATGAGACTCATTACCCTAAAGTCAATTCCCAGTCTTAACAACCGTACAGGACATGGTAGAACTTCCCCCTGTGGGTTTCTGAGACAGTAACCCTATGTCAGTAGAAAGCCTTGCTCTCTCCTGAGAAGTGACTGGTAGTTTCAAACTGCTGACCTTGTGGTTAGCAGCCCAACTTGTAACCACTCCCCTACCTAAGAGAGCAGAGGAATTAAATAAAGGGGGGAAAAATTAGTTGCCAAATCAAATATGCTAGAAAATAATACAAGTCCAAACCATTTAAAAAAGAAAAATATATAGGAAAAGAACAAGAATGCCCTAGAGAGGTAAAATAGAACGCCAAATTCAACCAAGAATGTACTAAAAAGAAGGAAGGCTGTTAAATATGTTGAGAGTGCAGCGTCTAAGGGTCATCACCACCATGCTGCAGTAAATCTGCCTTTCCTCCTATGTTCCACTGGTCTTCTGGTCAAATTGATAGGAGGATGTCTCCAGGAGGCTAAGCCAATATTTTCAAGCCAGTATTACAAGTTTAGAGATATCTCAGGAATAGAGGGTAGATAAATCCTGATCCAAAGGAGGAAAATTTAGGAATGAAACTTTAAATTCTTAATGGGAACCAGACTTACTAGATTCACTGAGACTGAAGGGATCCCAAAACGATTTCCTGGAAATAACTTTTGAACTCTCACCTAAAACGACCCCATAAAACCATATTAAGCAACAATCTATCTAAGTTAGCAAAGAATACCCATCTTGAGCTTTATGCCTTCTTGAAGAATTACTTATATGAGATAGAAATGATATGATGGTGGAACAATAGAAGCAGAAATAGTGGGAATGGTGATGTAATGTGAAGAATGTTAATCATTGACAATGAACTGTATATGTACAACTCACTGAATGAGTATATTCTTTGCTGTGTGTATTTCCACCAAAAATAAGAAAGAAGAAAATAACAAAAATGATAAAATAAAAAAGGTAGTGTATCATGGCCAGCATCTGAGAAATTCATAAGTAAAATAAAAGTATTGTAGCAGTTCTGAGACACTTCACAGATAATAAAACATGGACATTCCCAAAAGGGACTTTTAGCAGGCAACTATTTTTTTGGACACAATTATTTTTGAGTGTGGAAGGGACTACTGTGGACTATTATTGGACAAGAATTTTCCATGGAGCACATGAGAAATGCTGTTCCAACTTGATTTTCTTTGCCTCACAACAAATTCTCCCCTTTCTACATCCCAACAGTCTAAGCATGTTCTATCTGCTTGGGAGATTCTGGTTTCAGGTGTAGGCATAGATGCCTTCTATTCTCCTCATTCAAGTCCCAGTTTGGAGATCCACAAATGGGATCTTCTTGAGCACCCAGCCTTGCCATTCTCTACACCCTAGCACTTACACTATTTTAACTGTTCGCAGTGATTTATTTTTTAGGTTTTTATTGTCTGACTCTCCATTAAAATACAGGTTCATGTCATGAGAGTGCTGCAGTCTCGCCAGCATTCAGATCAGGGTCTGAGGCAAAATAGGTACAAATGAGGGAGCAAATAAATGAATGAACATTAAACTTATGTCTTTCTGTTAAACAGAGTAGAAGATCACGATGATCTCATGCCAATATTTATGCGCCACGACACAATCCTAAAAGAAATCTATGGTGAATACTTCCTGGCTGAACTAATAGAAGCCCAAGATGAAGAGAATCATGCTGTTGTGTGTGAGGTTGGTGATTAAGTGATCTAATAAAAAAGCCAGACACCCTAAAAATTTAATATCTTGCTACATTTTCTTTATCATTATATATATTCTATATATGTCTTTTTTTTCTGAAGTGAGAATAAGTTATATTTGCCCCTTTACCTCTAAGTTCTTCAGTGTATATTTCCTAAAAACAAGGACATTCCAATACATAACTATAGTACAATGATCACAATCCATACAATCCTATTACCTAATAGAACATATTGATATTTTTCTTAAAGTCCCTATAATGTCCTTCATAGGAGAAGTAGTGAAAATTTTAATATATTCTGGAGTCAGCCCTCTTAGGTCTTTGTTTCAGGTTTAAGAGTTGATTTGGGTTATATATGATTAAACTCTGTTAGATAAGTGACAATGAAAAATTTGGAAAATGTATATTAAAGTTGGGATTTACAAAGAGCAGGGGATAGAGAGGCTGATTAGAGGTTTGGTTAGTAGTTTAAACTGTAGAATACTAAGTTGCAATAAAAAAGTTAATGAACAATGAGTACACACAAAAAACAACAACAAAAAATAACTAAGAGTTACCGCTTTTCTAGAAATAGCACCTAAAGTTTTGGGTGTTCTGCGTAATTGAAAATGCACAAATCTGTGGGATACAACCCAGTGTTTTGGACAAATAGACTGAAAAAAAATTGAGATTCCCACTCATCAGTTGGTTGTACTAAGATGACTTGTATGTTGCTGTGGTGCTTGAAGCTATGCCATCGGTATTTCCAATACCAGTAAGGTGCACTGTGGTGAACAGGTTTCAGCAGAGCCTCCAGGTTGCACAAGACCCTTTTCATGTATTAACAAGCAAAGATGTCACTTTGAGGTGTGCCTGACCCATTTGGATCTTCACAGGAAAAACAAGAACAACTACAAAGTTTGGCGTTTATTATCAAAAAACACCTATGTACTGGGAGGATAGATCTATCACTTGGAAGATAGATTGCAGCTGGGAATAAAGTAAAACAAAGTGTTTATTAAACCAATTAATTTTTTCAGGCTACACGCCCCCTCCCCCACAAAGATGCATTTCAATGCTCCATAAAATTCATATTGAAAATCAGAATTTCCCCAAAAGAATAGTTATTGGAAAGAAACTCAAGTTAAAAAGCAGACACTTCCACAGAACATTCCTGCTCTGTTGTAGAGTATAATTGTGAGTTGTTACAACTCTGAATGAATGATGGGAGTATAACAGGTGGTGGAATTGGAGAACGTTAAATTTTTGTTCCTAATGGCAGAACACATTTTCTCATTTTCATCAGAATGTGTGATCCAGGCCATTTGAAATCAAATTCCAAACATAATGAACCGTTAGCATAATAACTAATTACTAACAGGGGTCATAAATAATACATTCTTATCATGTACATGCAGCTCACTATGAAGCCAGCAAAAGCTATTTCAGGCCATTGAAGTTTCATTATACCAATGCGGCTGTGGACTAGAAGGCCATCTCTTGTGAACAAAGATGGATGCCAATTTCTCCTGTGGAGAGAGAGGCTGCCACTTCCTCTGCACATATGGCAGATGGATTGGCTAATCAGTCTCTGCTGAATCTTGGGCTTAAAATTACAGAGAGACAGACAATTGTGACTATGCAGTCTTTGTCTCCAAGTGCATATAAGACAAACAATCACTTGTTATTTGGGAAAAAAATAAAATGTTTACTTTGGGTTTTTATTAAAGTGTCAAGTGCTTCATAGAACAGCTGTGTAAATTCAGCTTTTAACCAAAGTATCATTTGGATGGCTTATAACAAAAAATATATAAATGGAAATTTTAATTTAAAAATTCGCTCTTGTATTTCAGCATTAGAGAAAAACAAAGAGCCACACATTTCCTTTTCAAAAACATGTTTGTGAAATAATAGTTTAATCCTAATTTAATAGTTTAAATTATTTGAGTGAAAGTTTACAGAGCAAATTGGTTTTCTATTCAACAAATCACACATATTTTGCTTTGTGACATTGATTGCAATCCTCACAATGTCGCATCTGTCTGCGCTTCCTTCCTTCCTATCCACTTCCTCCCATTTCCATTTCTCCTACTTTCCTATCCGTTTTTGACTCTGAGGTTTATTCTTGGGGGATGCTGCTGTTTTCGTCTCATAGGGTTGAGAGCTCCAAAGAGTGCCTACCTCCTTTGTGTTATATTTCATCTTATAGACCTGTTGTTTGGCGGAGCCACCAGGGTGAGTTCAATTGCAGGCTTGAAGGCTGATCATACTCTTGGGAACTCCGCAAGTCCCTACTAGATCACAAAGACTGGTCTTTTTTTGTACAATTCTGAGTTTCGATCCACATTTGTCTCCCATGCTATCCAAGACACTAAATTGTGATTTCTTTGAGAGTGGTCAGCACTCAAATTGGTAACTGGGCACTATCAACTCTTCTGGTGTCAGGGTATTGGAGGCTGAGGTTCCAGTGGTCCATTAGTTCTTTGAACTGATTGTCTTTGCTTTTACTCTTCTACGTTCTGGGTGGGAAGAGATCAGTAGTTTCTTAGATGGCTGATCACAAGCTTTTAAGGCCTCAGTGATTCCTTACCAGAGGAAGCTGTAAAACATTGCTGTTGTGGGTCACGGTATGTCATTTGACTTTGATGATCACAGTGACTCTTTCCTTCAAGATCCTTGGCTCTGGCTAAGTTTTTATAACTTTGCCCCCTGATTGCTCTACTATATGAGAGAGCTTCAAAAAGTTCAGATTTTCCACGAAATTTTTAAATCTGTATGCATACATGGACATATTTATATCACATAAAAATATATCGGTATAAATTTCATCTGCCAAAACCTTTATGTCGTTATGAACATAGGCTTATTAACCTACCTATATCTGTTTATCTTGACTGTTTGCTGTGTATCTACTCATAGTTTAATGTTTGTTCTTAGTGACAATGTAGGATTATGTATGTAATTATGTAAGTGGGCTTCAAAAATTCATGAAAAAAATCCATTGTCTTTTCATTCCATTTTTACATGAACTCTTTTTTACATGTACTCTTAATGCCCCCACTTATTTACCTTTTTTGTCTGTAGCTCTTATATATTTCTCCATGCCTTACTTTTTATTTTTTAACTGTTTATTGTGATTTAGGTGGGGATTTACATATATCTTTTTTTTAATTCAACAATTTTAACAATTTATCAACCCTCCCTGTCCCCCAGCCTCTTTTCCCTCTAGCTCCCTCTTGTAGAATATCACCGCCCCCTTCATTAACACCTGTCTACCCTCTATCCTATTATTTTCCATTCCCTCTCTCCTCCTCTCACTCCTGATAACGTCAATGTCTGTTTATTTTGTTATGAAAGCCTTTATCTTAATTTGTATGTACAAAAGTGGTCTCAAACATTATTTGTCCTTTTGTGACTGGCTAACTTCTTCAGCTTAATGTCTTCCACATTCATCTATGTGATGAAGTTTTACTGTTTCATCATTGTTTGTTAGCAATGCATCTTACTCCACTGTATGTATGTACCAAAGTTTTCTATTCTTACACTAATGGTGCATTTAAATGATTTCTCATTTCTGGCTACTGTGAATAGCGCTGCAATGAACACAAGTGTGCATATATGCTCATGTTTTGTTCCTGTTTCCTTAGGACATACGCTGAGTAAAGGGAATGCTCTGTCATTTGGTATTTCAATTCTCAATTGCTTGCAAAAGCACCATACTGCTTTCCACAGAGGTTGTGCTGTTGTACAGTTCTATTAGCAGTGTGTGAGCGCTCCAGTCTCTCTAAAGCCTCTCCAGTATTTTCTGTTTTCTATAAAATGTTGCTGTCAATACTTGTGTGAGGTGATATCTCATGGTCACTTTGATTAGCATTCCTCAGTTAGCCAATGATTGTGAGCATTTATTCATATGCTTGTTGGCCACTTGAATGTCTTCTTTGGTGAACTGCTGACTCTTTATGTCCTTTGTCCATTTAAGAATTAGATGATTCATCTTTATTCTTCTTGAGGTGTTGCAGTTTTCTATAGATTTTACAGATTAATCTTTTTCCACTATATTATTTTTATTTTCCCTCAGACTATGAATTTTCTTTGTATTCTTTTGATGAAGATTTTTGATGTTCAAAAGTGTTTTATTTTTAGGAGGTCCAGTAATCTGTTTTATCTTCTGCTACATATGTGGTTTTTTTTTCATTGTTTATAGTGTGTTTCTGGACCCTTCAGCTTTCCCTATTCCTTATTTTTTCATTGCCTATCTTTATAGACATTATAGAATTTACATTTAGGTCTTTAATCAACCTTGAGTTCATCTTTGTATATGGAGTGAGGCATGGGTCCTGTTTCATTCTTCTGCAAATGGAAATTCACTTTTGCCAACACCATTTTTTAGAGATTATCTCTCCCCCATTTTATGTATTTTGTCCATTTGTAAAAAATAAAAATCATTTGTCTCATGAAAATCCATGGCCAACATGGATGCTTGATAGGGAAAAACTGAAAACATTTCCCTTGAAAACAGGAACCAGACAAGGATGCCTGCTACCATGAATCTTATTCAACATTGTGCTGGAAGTCTTAGTCAACAAAAATCAAGGGAATACAATTGGGCAAAGAAGAAGTGAAATGCTCACTATTTGCTGATGATAAGATTTCATATGTTGAAAATCCCAGACTCCACCAAAGGATTGTTGGAAACAATTGAGGGGTTTGATACAATACTGGGACGTAAGGTTAACAAGAAGAAATCAATTAGGGTCTTATTTAATAGCTCTGAAAAATAAATCAAGAAAACAATATCATTTATAATAGCCACACAAAAGCTAAAACACTTAGGAATAAAGGCAAAAAAACCCCACCTGTACAAAGAAAATTACAGAACATTATTACAAGAAACCCAAAGAGACCTAAATAAGTGGAAAATATCCTGTGTTCATATAATATTTTAAAAAGTCAATACTACCCAAAGCAATCTATAAATAGAGCACAATTCCAATCCAAATCCCAAATGATT